TTGTCCAAATTCTGCGTTGTGATTTTTCTGTTTTTCTTTTTTTAGTTGTCCTCGTCTTTTGTGTCTTCGTCGAAAGTCCGCAAGCAGCATGTGTGGCGTTGGTTTTGTGCGGAAAGAGAGGACGCTTGACTTTGTGGACACCGGTAGGTTTAAGGGGGGGGGGGTCGGTGTTTGTGGCATCTCTGTTGCGGCAGGAAGGCGCTGGAGAAGGATTGTGATGGTCTGAAATCTGGTAGGCTAGGCGGCCGCCCTGTGATCATGCGCACGCGGGGGAAGCGGGAGACAGGGGAAGAAAGGTGTACTATTTGTTGGTAGCCCTGTGGTGTTGATGCACCCATTGGTGTAGAAAGAAGGGGCCCCGTATTAGTCATGGCGATGCACCCGCTGGTGTATAGCGCAGGGCGTAGCCTAGAGGGAGAACGGTTGCACTGTCTGCATGTTTTCCCGGTTAAGCGTGTGTGTGCGTCGGAAATTTCGTTGCCAGAATATCGATCACATGTACCACCACCCTGTTCGCTACTCTGCTGGTGACGTGTACTTGGCGTTTGTCGTTTTGCCGTGCTTGGCAAGTGCCGTTGCGATAGCCTCGAGATGCTGCTATCCCACGTGATGATCCTGTTGCAAAGCGAAGTGGACGTTGCAACAGTTCCGCACGGTGGGGGGCGGAGCGTGGGGGTATTTACATAGTATAGGTAGTTAGGTTGATGCTGCTGCTGCTGCTGTTGTTTTTGTTTTGTAACATTGTTTGTTGTTGTTCGAGTTGATTTATGCGGCTGCTGCGAAACAAAGACAATACTAAACGGTTCGGTTATTGTAGCAGTGGCAGGGATGCAAAACCGCCACATCGTTACGCTTGCGATGCGAAACCGAGCGGCACGGGGCTTACAAGGAAATAAATGCTGCCTGTGACCCACCTCTCATTCTCCGATTCCCGGCAACTTGTCGTCAACAATTTGCTCACATACAGCTGGTAGCTGGGTTGTAGCTGGCGCCAGTCGCCATCAGCCAAATGCAAGAGTTGTGAATAGCGTAGCTTATAGTTTCGACGTTTGTTTGTTTTCGTGTTGTCGTGACCGGTTCCTCCTGCGGAGTTGATCATCATCACATCTGACGAGAGATTTTATCAGGCGAACCTGGACGAACAAAGCTCATCGGACTGCTTCTTGTTTTCGACGTGTCTATTAGACTAATAGAGGAGCGATCAAGATTCATTTTGGTCTTCCGAAGCAAAGATACGATTCGTAATCATCGCTCACATTACTACTCCCCTTGAACGTGCATGATGACGCTGCTCCTCATCATGTGGGTTCAACAATCATGCCAACAGATAGATTCACAGAGCACTAAATTGCGTTGTACGGTCGACAGCAGTAAATTGAGAGGAGATTGGTGTACTCCTACTCAGCGACCCAACGGTTAGCAGGATCACGCCATTTGAATTCGAAGGTACGTGTAAGTGTGTGCGGTCAACTGCAACTGGCGATACTCGTCCGGAACGTCGGAACGCATGGACCGATATTGGGGTACTCCTACTCAGCGACCCGACGGTTAGCAAGATCACGTCATTCGAATTCGAAGGTGCGTGTCAACGTGTGCGGTCAACTGCAACAGGCAATACTCGTCCGGAACGTCGGAACGCATGGACCGCTCAGCTTCAGCGTGGGAGCGTGGGAGGTGGGAGAGCGTGGGTGGAGATCGTGAGATGACAGTCTCGCGAAATGCCTTTCCAAGACCTTGAAAACTTAGAAATGGACGTGCACTTCACTACTTCACTCGACACTTTGACACCCTCTGGCACAGACCAGGCACCTGCCCATCATCGCCACCTCGACTGCTGCGTCTTCCAGCACCTCTCGGGTGGACGACTCTCTAGTTTCCCGGAGCGTGCGCTTGGCGCACAAGAGTTGCAGCGCGCCGAAAGGTGTGCAGCGAGAGCTCAGCATAGCCAATTGACCCGCCGCCGGACTGGAGGTCCTCTTAGCTGTGTGTGTGCTGCTGCTGGCTGTTGAGGCATCAGTGACCGACCATAGGGCGTGCGCCGCCGGCCCAGTGGTACCACTCTGTCCCCAGCCCCTTCATAACGGCCCTGGCCCACAATATTGGTCGGTGCGCCTGCTGAGAGCGACACCAGCTTGGGATTGGACCGGACTCCTTGCAGGAGACTGCAACGTGAGATTCCTGCATCTTTGGCGATCTTGAAAACACGCTCGAGAGAGTAGGCCGGCCACCGCGGGGGTGTGTGTACGGCAAGATTTAGGCGCGCATGGCTACTAGAAACGCGAATCATGGCGGCGGCGGCGGCGCCGGAAACAAAGGTGGAGGTGGGTGGGTGCAGCAGGATGTCGCTTGGGCGCCCGGCAACGGCGGTTGGGGAGACGGAGAGGAGGAGGAGCTTCGGGAGGGGGCGGGGCAGACCCTGGTGCATGAGACCCACGCCCCGAAGAGGATCTCGCACATCCAGTTCGGCCTTCTGGACGCAGAGGTGTGTGAGACCGATATGTACTGGGAATGATACTGTTTCGGGGAGGGGGTATTGTGTCTTGCAGTTCCCGTCGGCGTACAGTTCGGAGTGCTACTCTGTATTTGGTTCTGCATGCAGATGTTGGGCACAGACTTTCCATCTACCTTCAGAGATGTGGCCGGTGTAGATAGCATCCCGACCTCGAATTATGTAATGAAAGTACGTGATTGCGTACAGTTGGTACAGTAGATTGGGCTATCTGCAGTATCCTCGTAAAACAACTGACAAATTGGCAGGGATGCAAGGAGGTGGTGTGTGGTGTGGTTTCGGCCCTCTGCGGATTGGGTGCCAGAAGCAGCACCGCCTGACGGATGGATGGGTACAGATTGACCGCGCATGGACCCCACGCCAACACGCCATTTTTCTTGCCCGCATTCGGCCACCACATTTTTCATCGTTTACGCAAGGCTTGGAAAGTCCACTTGTGGTGGGATGCATGTCATACAGCAACGGGAACCGTTCATCCTTCATGCAAAGCCGCGCACCGCAGATTATATTTCATCTCACCACCCCCCACCCCCCACCATCACCACCACCTGCAAGGGTATGCGTTTTTCGAGTGCAAGTTTACCACCACCATACACGTGTCTCGATTTACCGTTGGCTGGAGCATGTCTCCAATATTTGTTTTGTGTGCCGATCATTGCACGGATTTATTGGGTTTGGTAGGTAAGGAAGAGGTTAGAATGATCCCGGCGCTAGGGCCGGGCATCTCCTCGAGAAGATCCCAGCGACAGCACACTGAACACAGGGCATGTGTGAGGCCTCAACGTGACAATGACAACAGTGTAGAGAGCATGCACCATGCATTTTCCATGCACCGTCAGGGACAACTCTAGGGAATATCAATTCAACCACGTCGTAGCAGGTGACCTAAAGGGCAGTCGGCTGATGTCTATAGGCTGCTGTAGCACCAGAGAGACAGCCAGGTAGAGGTTCGCGAACACGCGATTTGGCCAGAGATCGATTTCCTCGGAAGGATGGTATATGAGTCGTTCCGTTGGCTCTAGATGTCCCCTTTTAAATCCTTCGGTACAGTAAGAGTCGGAGAGATTGCACCCTCGTGTCAGCGTTTTTTTGTGGCGTATTTATCCACAACAAGGAGGGTGCGAACACCAACCGATAGCTCTCAGGAAAGTCCTAGACGACATGTTTCGAAAACTGCGCTTTTCGGCAGTGGTGCCCCCCTGGTTGTGGAGAACTACGCTAGAACAAAACGCTTGCACGGGGGTGCCATCTCTCCGACAATTACGGTATATTTGCCAAAGCAAGCAACGACGGCGCACTTGATGTCATCCAGCTCTTGCTGCTCACCAACTTCACAAGAAGCAGCGCATGTGCGACCGTCATGTCTCGCCACAGAAGTGTTGGAACATACCTGTTTCATACCCCATGGTCCCCGGAAGACATACAGAAGTAAATACCAGCGCCCGTATGTATGGACAAAATGAACCCTGAAAGTATATCGTACACAAGACTCTTGAACTACTTCACTGCTGTTTGGCAAGCATGTACCAACGCGAGTGTGCATAAACGTTGCCCGATCCCATGTGATTCACCAAACAACGGTGTCAGGAAGTGGAGCGCATGAGCGAGTTCCAGGTGTGGTCGCGAGAGCTGTTCAAGATGCCCGAGAGGATTGCCGCCCCTAACGGCTGCCTTGACCCGCGGTTAGGGGTGTCGGACAAGACTGCAGTTTGTGAGACGTGCAGGTATGTAAGCGGATTCGCCTGCTCCGTTGCGCAGACTATAGCTCATTGTGCAAACCTACTTCATTTCTCGATGTATTACATGAACTCTTTTGAAGCTATTGACCCAAAGACAATGACAAACGTCCTTGCTTGTGTTTTTTGTGTGTTGTAGACCCATTTATTATGGCGACAATCCCTTCATTTTCGTGGTGAGACGTGTATGTAGAGTACTACACTTTCAGTGTGTTTGCGCTGCTATTGAAATATAATCATGGCATGCTCAACTCCTTGTTTCCTTCGGCCATATGCAACAAATTTTGCAGTAACGTAGACCGGTTCAGATGCCTCGACAAGCGTTGAGGCTGCTAATGTTTTTTTCCATTTGTACCCTTTTTTGGCAACTTGCTTTGCCCATGCTAGCAGATAAGTTACCTCACCGCTTTCCCCTCTGATTTCCTCTTGGTTTTGTTGTGGTACCATTTTTGTGGGTTCGGCCTCAACATCCGCTGCGAGATGATGATGTACCGTAAATGAAACAAGATAACACACCCCCTGGACCCATTTTCAAATCTCGATTTTTCAACAGCAGAAAGAGTCATAGCGCCGAAAACGGTGGCGTTGAAGTTGTCTCGTTGAGAGCTTTCCGAAAATGTTTTGCTTCATTTATGCACCCTCTTCGTCCTGGCGTAAGCGAGCTTTGAATATTGGTCCAGGGGGTGTGTAATCTTGCGTCATATACTTAATGTGCTGTGTGTTGTTTTTGGAACTGTTTCGGCCAGGTTCTGTCGGCATTTTCCATCTTCTCTCCCCAGACAACCGTACTCATGTATCTAACTTTTCTGACTCCTGAGGTACGATCTTACTCGTGATGAACATTTGTTTGGGTCATCCCGGTTCGGTCAAATATTGTTTTGGTTTCGTCCGACTAGAACCTTCTTCCGTTAGGCCTGACCTTAAGCTGCATTTCAGCTGCTTACCCAACCCTTTTCTTTTGTCTTGACGTAAACACCACTTGGCCTGACTTCGAGCACCCTTATTTTTGTTGTCATCGCTCCTTCAGCAAGCTGCTGGTTGACTGCGCCGGCCACTACGGCCACATCAAGCTCGAGCTGCCCGTGTTCCACATCGGGTACTTCAAGCATACCCTCACCATGCTCCAGGTTTGCGCGGAAAATTTCAAAGTTGCTGTCTTTTCGCCTTCTTGTAGTTTTTGGATAGTTTTGTTTGGCTTTTCTAAGGAGTTGCGCATTCTCCAGCGCATGCGCTTGAAGAGTGGTTTGTGGAGAATTTGGAGTTTTGATTGAAGGTGTCTGCGCACTCTCTCGTGCATGCGCCGGTTGTAAAGGTCTCGAGCCCAGTTGTTTCCTTTGGGTAGACGCATCGCGGTCTGTTTGGTGGCGTTATCATCTTTCCGTCCGACTCTTGGTGTACCGTATCTGCAACGCGTGAATGCAGCCGGCTGCTGCTGCTGCTGCTGCTGCTGCACGACGCGTCGCTCGACACGATTTTCCTCCGAAGTCGGAAAGTACATGGTTGACATACGTACGTATTTGCAGGGAAAGCTTGGGGGGGAGTGACTGCCACTGACGAATTGTTCAAATTTTGAACGGGGTTTGATCTTCTCCACCTCCACGTTTCCGTGCCGTCTCGCGCCCCCTGCCTTACTCTCCCGTAGTGCATCTGCAAGACGTGCAGCCGAGTGTTGCTGCACGACGCGTCTCGGGTCAAGTACCTCAAGCGCATGCGGAACCCGCGGGGGATGGGTGCGTTGGAGAGGGGCAATCTTCACAAGAAGATCGTCACAGAGTGCAAGAAGTCCACCAGCTGCTTCCACGAGTCTTGCTACGCCGTCAACGGAACCGTAAAAAAGGTACAGCCACGCAAGTGATGATAGCAGTTGTACGGGCACAGGCGTGTAAGTGATGGTGATAATGATGCTGCTGATGATGATGATGAAAATGGAACCGTAGTAATAATGGTTCAGTCATGCAAGTGGAACGGAACAGTAAAAAGAGGAACAGGCTGCAGTACGTGAAAAGGGGTACAAAAAATACTGAGGATGTCGTTCACGGAAGGTGCACCAGGGTGTTGAGTGCATATTGGCATCAATGCTTCACGATGACGATATCTACCGTAGGTCGCATAAGTAAGATATCGCACCCCCTGGACCGAGAATTTTCAGCTCGATTGATCCATGAACAGGATGCCACGAGTCAAACGATGCGCAAAGCCTCTGACAAGACAGTTCCGACGCCGCCATTTTCGGCACCGTCTCTGTTTCGCTGCAGAGTAATTTATCTTGGAAAATCGATCCCGGGGGTGCGGTATATTTTGCAACCTCACAAGTATATGTACATGGGACACCTGTTGCACGACCCGGTTCATGTACCCCCTTTGGAAGCTTTAGAAAAGTTAACTGCTCAAGTTTCCTGTCCGCATCCATCAAATGCTCCGGTGGTTTAGTTGGTTGTAATGCCTGTTTTGATGGAAGCGGACACGAAGTTATGCCTTTAGTAGCAAGGGTTCAATCGCGTGCAGTTTCACGAGGAAGTACGATACACGAATAATTTGGGGGAGGGGGGGGGAGGGTAGCAGTGCATCTAGCCTTGGGTTTCGCTTGCCACTTAAGTATGGTATACAATGTTTTAGAATTGTTCGCCATACAAATTAGACTTGCAGACGATCGAGACACCCTAAAAAAAATACATACAAACACAAACTTCGGCCGTCACAAACATGAAATGATCTGGTGGTTTTGTTGGTAATCGTATCCGTTGTACGCTTGAAGACCATCAGAACACTTGTCTCAAGAATTATTTTTTGGCCATCTCAAACATCAAATTCTCTGGAGGTTAATAGTTGGCTCAAATATTCGCCTTGTATAATAGCACAAGTGTGCGAAGTTTGGTGGCCTTTGTATGGAAGGATCTAAAACCCCCCCAAAAAGGCATCTACCTCAACTCCAGGGGCGCGGAAGCAACTGTGTTTTTTTTTGGCTGAAAACAGACGTTGCTGCATACTTTAGAACCTGGCACGTCATCGCCGTCATCATCAAATGCTCAGGTGGTTTAGTTGGTTATAATGTCCGCCTCACACGCGGAAGGTCGCGGGTTCGAACCCCGCCCCGAGTACATTTTTTTAGCATGGAAGTAGTGTAAGATATACCGTTGAAGTATTCAAGAAGTGAATGTGGGCGGGGGGGTATTGGGGTTTTCATCAACAAAAAGCACCTGGGCATTTGATGAGAGTTAATTTGACATGAGAGTCTTCATGTCCAACAATCTCTGGCTCAAAGGCAAAAAACAATTTCGCTTCCGCCCCAGCTTTTATTTATGTAAATGGCTTTTTTTGTATTTACGCGGAAGGTCGCGGGCACACAAATGATCGTATACTTATACTACACGAGTGTTAAGACACACATGAGATATGTATCACACGCCCCACACGCTACCACACCCGGTGGCAAAATAGTTTTAAGCTCAACACGATCCCAACACATAAAACTACTCTCAGATAAAGTGGTAGGGCGAATAGGACACCATACAATAACACACCCGGTGATATGTAGGAGCCATTTTTTTTTATCACCGGGGGCTTGTTACCTTGCGTAGTTTACGGCACCCGCATCCCTTCCGGTTCTTCCCCAAACCCACTCCCACATAAACACGCCTCACTGAACAGGTGACCTTTCACCAGGGGGGGGCTGTTGTCTTGGGTAGTATATGTAACACTTGACGTTCTTCCCCAACTCCACGCCCTCAACACACGCCTCACTCAAGCAGGTGACCTATCACGGGGGGGATGTTATCTTCTGTAGTATACGGTACACTTCCCGTTCTTCCCGAACCACACACCCGCCTCACTGACCATGTGACTTTTATCACAGGGGGGTGTTATCTTGCGTACTACGGTACACATATCCCTTCCCCAACCCCAACCCCCGCAACGAACACCTCACTGAAACAGGTTACCGGATCCCAGACGTTAAAGCTCGTTCACGACCGCTTCAAGGGCAAGCCGCCGGGGAACGTGCTGCAAGAGCTGACGGCGGACATGAAGGTGGCGGCTCAGGCGAACCGGGAGATTCCGAAGCACCTGGGCATGGCGATGGAGGATCTCTCGGCCCTTAGGGTGAGCGATGAGGGGGAGGGGGGGGGGGGGGGTGCACTCATACCGTGCATGCCGTAGTCTTAAGAATATTGGCCTCGCACGCCTACAAAAATGAAGGGGGGGTTTTTGTTGTTGTTGTCTTCCCATTAAACAAACCCGTTTGTCAGTTGTTAATCCCAAAATCTAGCAAAAACTCGGTCCGGGGTCCCAAAAATGCTAGAGCCACCAGAAGGTCTAAAGAACACGCACACTTCACAAGAAAAGGGTACACAAGCCCGAAAAGGTGTGTTTGATTTTCGTTGCTGGAGGGTGTAATTCAGATGCACACGCTTGTTTAATTTTGTACAGATGTGTAGGCATTTGATGCCATGGTATTTCATGTAGGTGTGCCCTCCCCAAGACCTACCATTATGGAATGCAATTTAACTAGATAAGGACACACATTACTTTACTGTTGCATACATGGTTCAGAAGTGCACTTATGCACTGAAACGACTGACGATAAATTGAACGCATGCTATCCGATGGAGAACTTGCGAATCGTGAAAAAGAGAAGTTAACGGGGCACATCTACTAGTAGGCGAGGATGGAATGTCTTACCCCTTGAGGGCACGGGAAATGAGCTGCCTGCCCTGTATGTTCGTGTGCGTACTGGTACTTGAAACTTTCGTGCAATCGTCTTGTGACAGTTATTTTGTATTGCCAGGAAAAGCGGCGTCCGCTTCATTTTGATCTGCACGGGTGTTTCAAGGTGTACCGGCTGAGACTAGAAAACGATTTTTTGTGTTTAGGTAACAGCGGCAGCAACAACAACAACTACTACTGCTGCTACTCCTACTACTGCTATTTTCAACCACAGCAGCAGCAGCAGCAGCAGCAGCAGCAGCAGCAAGGTACACGCTGAAATCTTCATCTGCCGTGTTTTTTTTTCCAGGTGCTTCACCTTTTCCAGCGCATGACGGATGAAGACGCGGAGTTGCTTTGGATGGACGCCAGGGTCGGCAGGCCCGAAAACTTGATCATCGAGAACCTGCTCGTAAGGCTGCTGCTGTGTTCCGTCCGTATTTTGTGCACTGCCTACGCGTTCCCAGGCTTCTTGTGTCTCGCTACGGTCGGGCTTGACCCAGTTTTAGGCGTTGATAACCCTACGCGCTACTACCAAACACCGTTGGAAAGTAATGGGAGAATAATTTCGCGATTACACATGTATAACCCACAGGTATTATAGTTACCCGTTCGAAGGGCCTAGTGTTGGAAGCCTTGGAAGCACGCTTTGAGGTGTTACATGCTCGGTGATGTAGACCACCACCTGCAAGTATGCGTTTCGGCAACATTAACACCTCAAGATGATGGGGCGTTGTTTTTGTGTAACGGGACATGGTCAGGTTCCTCCAGTGCCGATCCGACCGTCGGTGGCAATGGACCTCGGCGGCGGCAGCAACGAAGACGATCTCACGGTCAAGCTCCAGGAGATAATAGACGTAAACGTCTCCGTTAAGGCTGCTTTGGACAACGGCGCCAACGTCAAGATGATCATGGAGAACTGGGACTTTCTGCAGGTACGGTATTATAGTCATTGTGCGGATAAGGAAACAATGGGGGGGGGGGGGGGGGGTACTCAAACAGAAACCCTGCATGCCAAAATCCTTAAACGGTTGACCCCCCATCCCTCCAAAACCGGGACGGAACACCCCGGGTTCT